GAAAAGTCTTGTGGGGGCTGGCGCCATGGCACACTAGGTTAATCCTCCGCCTGCAGCACTGGCATCCCATATGGGCACCGGTTCTAGTCCCAGTTGCTCTTCTTCCAGTCCAGCTCTCTGCTGTGGCCCGGGAAAACAGTGGAGGATGGCCCAGGTGCTTGGGTCCTGCACCCGCATCGGAGACCAAGAGGAAGCACCTGGCTCCTGGCTTCAGATTGGCACAACGTGCCGGCCGTAGCGGCCATTTGGGGAGTGAACCAGCGGAAGGAAGACCTTTCTCTCTCTCTCTCTCTCTCTCTCTCTCTCTCTCTCACTGCCTGTAACTCTACCTGTCAAATAAATAAATAAAATCTTTAAAAAAAAGTCTTGTGAGGTTTTACTGTAAAATAATTGCAACAGTGGAACAGTAATTACAAACCTCTTTCTCGTAGTCAGCTTCTGCAAGGTGAGAGCATTCCTCCCATTCCATATCCAGAGGTATAGGCATACATCCAAAAAGATTTTGGGCATTTGTGGTGAAGGATGAAATCTCCAGTTTTGCTTCAATTCCCCCAGATGAAAAAGATCAGGAGCCGACACTGTGGTGTGGTAGGTTAAACTTCTGCCTGCGGTGCCAGCATCCCATATGGACACCAGTTTGTGTTCTGGCTACTCCTCTTCTGATCTAGCTCTCTGCTTGTGGCTTGGGAAAGCAGTGGAGCATGGCCCAAGTGCTTGGGCCCCTGCACCCATGTGGGAGACTCAGAAGAAGCTCCTGGCTTCTGGCTTTGCATTGGCCCAGCTCTGGCTGTTGTGGCCATTTAGGGAGTGAACCAGTGGATGGAAGACTTCTTTCTGTCTCTTCATCTCTGTCTATAAATCTGCCTCTCAAATAAATAAATCTTAAAAAAACCAAGATTAGAGGGATTTAGAGCCCATTAAAAAGAAAATGCGAGGAGGGCATTTGGCATAGTGGTTAAGACACTGCTTGGGATTGCCCACATCCCATATCAGAGTGCCTGAGGTTCAAGTCCTGGATCCATGGTAAATTTCAGCTTCCTGATAGTGTACACCCTGGGAGGCAGCAGGTGATGGCTCAAGTACTTTGGATCTCTGCCACCTACATGAGAGACTCAGATTGAGTTCCTGGCTCCTGTCTTTTGTCTGGCCTATCCTCAGCTGTCGTGGGCATTTGTGGAGTGAACAGCGGATGGGTGATACCCATCTGTGTGTCTTTTCTGTTTGTCTCTTTTTAAAAAAATTTTATTTATTTATTTGAAAAAATAGATTACAGACAGAGGGAGAGATAGAGAGAAAGGGCTTCATCTGCTGGTTCACTCGCAACGGCTGGAGCTGGGCTGATCCAAAGCCAGGAGCCACTTCCAGGTCTCCCACATGGGCGCAGGGACCCAGGCACTTGGGCCATCTTTCACTCCTTTCCAGGCCATAGCAGAGAGCTGGATCAGAAGAGGAGCAACTGGGACATGAAATGGCACTCACAGGTGTTGCAAGTGGAGCCAGTAGCCATAGGCAGAGGCTTAGCTTGCTAAACCATAGCACTAGCCCCTTGTCTCTGTAGAAACACAAAATTGTCCTCAATGTCAGTGCTGCAGCAATGTGTGAACATTCATCTCTGTGCCCTGCCTGCCACTGTATGATTGGCTCAATGAAAACCACAGCCATATATGTGTATCTTATCCAGCAACCAGGAAAGTACTGCAGAGAAGAAAATGTGCATAATATGGATGCCAGAAATAAGATCACTTAAGATCAGTCCATAGTCAGGAGGTTTTTCCCTATGAAGAAGCAAGTTGAAAGGACTTGCTTGAGCTGTCAGATGTTGACAGCAAATCTTCAGATGTTAGTCATGCATGCATTATGTGGAGACAGTGTTTGGAGTACAGAAGGCAGAGAGTATGTAGTATACTCTCTTTCTTGTCTAGGACTTGAGAGTGAGCTGGGGGACCACAAGCCCTGGAAGATGTACTGTTGACTTCTGCTAGCTTTATGACATCCAGGATTAAGTATTCCATCTACAAAGAAATCAGGACTCATGCACCTGCTGCTTCCAACCTATGACTGACTAGAGAGCAGAGTATGTGCTGAACTCCCACATTGCCTTTCAGCTGTGTGTAGTTTGTCTGAAGCCCTTTGGTCATCTGTACTGCAGCTACTCCTGGGTCAAATGTTAGGCCTAATTCTGTGAACTCAACCTGTGTAACATGTGTCTGGATAGGATGTTGAATGACAATGAGTATTAATCAGGTTCTTAAAGAAAGAAATCTTAACAACAACAACAACAACAACAAAAAGAGTTACCTGCAGGTCGATGTTGTGGCACAGTAGGTTAAACTGCCCTCTGTGACAATGTCAACATCCCATCTGGGCACCGGTTGGGTGCCAGCTGCTGTACTTTCGATCCACTTCCCTGCTAATGCATCTGGGAAAGCAGCAGAAGATGGCTTAAATCTTTGGGCCCCTGTACCCACATGGAAGATCTGAATGAAGTTCTAGGCTCTTGGCTTCAGCCTGACCCTTGTGGCCATTTGGAGAGTGAACCATATATCTCCCCCCACCCCCCTTCTGTAACTCTGCCTTTCAAATAAATAAATGAATCTTTTTTTTTTTAATTATCTTTTTTTTTTTTTTTAAAGATTTATTTATTTGAAAGGCAGAGTTACAGAGAGGCAGAGGCAGAGGCAGAGGCAGAGAGAGAGAGAGATCTTCCATCCACAGGTTCACTCTCCAAATGGCTGCAATGGCCAGAGCTGGACTAATCTGAAGCCAGGAGCCAGACATTTCTTCCAGGTCTCCCACATGGGTGCAGGGGCCTAAGGACTTAGGCCATCTTCTACTGCTTCCCCAGGCCATAGCAGAGAGTTGGATTGGAAGTGGAGCAGCCAGGTCTTGAACCAGTGCACATAGGATGTTGGCACTGCAAGCAGTGGCTTTACCCACTACACAGTAGCGCTGACCCCAATAAATAAATCTTAAAAAAAAAAAAAAAAAATTACCTGGCAACTAGAGATTTGGTATGGAAAAACATAATGATTGAAACTTTTGTGGCTCTTCAAACATGAGTCTTTTTTTTGTTGTTTTGTTGTTGTTGTTGTTAAATAATTGAGTGTGCTACTTTACAAAGTGTGGGTTCCATACATGGTTGGGGGCACACTCTGGCCTTCCCTATGATTGTGCATGAGGAAGAGACTGAAGGGCATCATGTAAGAAAAAGTTGTTGGAGTGAGTGCTTGGTGTAGTGGTTAAGACGCTGCTTGGGACATGTGCATCCCATGTTAGAGAGCCTTGGTTTGAGTTCTAGTTCTGTTCCCAGTTTTGGCTTCTTGCTATTGTATATCCTGGGTAGCATGTGATGGCACAAATAGTTGGGTACCTGCCACCCACATGGGAGATTTGGATTAAGAAACCAGTTCCTGGCTTTGGCCTGGCCAAGCATTAGATATTGTAGCATTTGGGAAGGGAACCAGATGATGGAAGCTCTCTTGTTTGTCTCACCGCCTTTCAAATACATAAAATAAGTTAAAAAAAAAAAAAACAGATAATAATGGCAGGTTTGCTCTATAGCTTTTCTATAACTGGTAAAAAATGAAATCTCTTTGAGAAAAGTTTTATGGGAGAAGGTTCATTGAAAAAAAAATTTTAAAGATTTTATAAAGATTCATATGTTTATTTGAAAAACAGAGTTACAGAGAGAGAGAGATCTTCCATCTGCTGGTTCAGTCCTTAAATGGCCACAATGGCCAGAGCTGGGCCAGACCAAAGCCTAACCCAGGAGCTTCTTCTGGATCTCCCACATGGGTACAGTGACAGCTTTACCTGCTATGCTACAGTGCTGCCCCTAAATATGTTTTTAAAAAGATGATGGCATCTCATATGAGCACTGTTCCACTTTCAATCCAGCTCCCTGCTAATGCACCTGGACGAGTAGCAGATGATGGCCCAAGTGCTTGGGCCCCTGCCACCCATGTGGGAGACCCAGAAGAACCAAGAGCTTCTTCTGCTCTTTTTTTTTTTTTTTTTATACAGGCAGAGTGGACAGTGAGAGAGAGAGAGACAGAGAGAAAGGTCTTCCTTTTGCCGTTTGTTCACCCTCCAATGGCCGCTGTGTCCCGCGTGCTGCGGCCGGCGCACCACGCTGATCCGAAGCCAGGAGCCAGGTACTTCTCCTGGTCTCCCATGGGGTGCAGGGCCCAAGGACTTGGGCCATCCTCCACTGCACTCCCAGGCCACAGTAGAGAGCTGGCCTGGAAGAGGGACAACCGGGACAGAATCCGGCGCCCCGACCGGGACTAGAACCCGGTGTGCCGGCACCGCAAGGCGGAGGATTAGCCTAGTGAGCCGCTCTTCTGCTCTTGGTTCCTGGCTTCATCCTGGCACAAGCCTGGTTGCTGTGGCCATTTGGGGGGGGGGGGGTGAGCCAGTGGATGGAAGACCTGTCTTTCTCTGTCTCTCCCTCTTTATCTGTAACTTTGCATTTCAAATAAATAAATCTTTTTTAAAAATGCAGCCACAGAAAAATATATTTAATTGCAGTTTCTAGTGATGGAAAAGATGGGAATGTATTGTCAGTGACCAGAATTTCATTTATTTTATGTCAAAAGGAGGTTGCTTTTTAAGGGAGGGGATAAAAAAGTGAAAAGTAGGTAATCACATAAAAATGATAATATAATATAATAATAATATATAATATCATACAATATTATATAATATATAATATATTAATATAATATAATAGGATGATATTGAAAGTTTCTGTAAGGTGAATAGCAGTGCCAGCTTTGCCTGATGAAAATGAATAAATTTTGTTTCTGGAGAGGTTGCTAATTTTCATATTTATAGAATTTAAATTTTTTAATTTGAGAGGGAAAAGGGCATGGCATATATATTCCCTTCTTTTTTTCCTGTTTGTAGAAATATAGTATATACTTAGTGCAGTTGTGAAATCTGAACTTGAATGCATTTCTTGGTTTATCTTACATGTATTTTCTCTCCCATTTATGTAGAGCTTACATTTAAGAGGAAACAGTCAAGACAAGGAGAACAAGTAGATCAAGATGTGTAGCTCTGTGGCTGCCAAGTTGTGGTTTTTGACAGATCGTCGCATCAGGGAAGATTATCCCCAAAAAGAGATTTTACGAGCATTGAAGGCTAAATGTTGTGAAGAGGAATTGGACTTCAGGGCTGTGGTGATGGATGAGATTGTGCTGACAATCGAGCAAGGAAACCTGGGTAAGTCTTTACTGAGTGATCTTTACTTAGTGGATTTTTACTTAGAATCTGCATGTTTTAGGAATAGCAGTTTTATGTTTTTTTAGCTTTTGATATACATATATATGTTTAGATTTATTTTTTTATTTGAAAGGCAGAGTTACAGAGAGGCAGAGGCAGAGAGAGAGAGAGAGAGAGAGAGAGAGAGAGATCTTCCATCTGCTGGTTCACTCCAGGTGGCTTCGATGGCTGGAGCTGGGCTGATCAGGAGCCAGGAGTCAGGAACTTCTGTGTCTCCCATGTGGGTGCAGAGACCCAAGGACTTGGACCATCTTCTACTGCTTTCTCAGGCCATATCAGGGAACTGGATCAGAAGTGAAGTAGCTGGGTCTTGAACCAGCACCCACATGGGATCCAGCACAGCAGGTAGTGGCTTTCCCTGCTAAACCATAGTGTCAGCCCCAGTTTTTGAAACTTTATAAAAAAAATTTTATGTATTTATTTGCAAGAGTTACAGAAAGGGGGCTGGCACTGTGGCGTAACAGGTGAGGCCACTATCTATGGTGCTGGTATCCCACATGGGTGCTGTTTCGAGTCCTGGCTGCTCTTCTTCGATCCAGCTCTCTGCTATGGCCTGGGAAAGCAGTAGAAGATGACAAGTCTTTGGGCCCCTGCACTGGCATGGAAGACCTGGAAGAAGCTCCTGGCTTTGGATTGGTGTAGCTCCGGCCATTGCGGCCATTTGGGAAGTGAACCAGCAGATGGAAGATTTCTCTCTCTCTCTTTCTGCCTCTCCTTCTCTCTCTGTAATTCTGACTTTCAAATAAAATAAGTAAGTCTTTACCTGCTACACCACGGCGCCGGCCCCAATAAATAAATTTTTTTTTAAAGATTTTTTCATTTTATTTATTTGAAAGACAGAGTTACAGAGAGAGGTAGAAACAGAGAGAGAGATCTTCCATCCGCTGGTTCACTCCCCAGATGGCCACAACGGCTGGAGCTTGCCAATCTGAAGCCAGGAGCCAGGAGCTTCCTCCAGGTCTCCCACGAGGTTGCAGGGGCCCAAGGACTTGGGCCATCTTCTGCTGCTTTCCCGGGCCATAGTAGAGAGCTGGATTGGAAGAGGAGCAGCCGGGACTAGAACTGCCACCCGTATGGGATGCTGGCCCTTCAGGCCAGGTCTTTAACCTGCTGTGCCACAGTGCCAGCATCAAATAAAATCTTAAAAAAAAAGCAGAAAATAGAAACTTAGTCCCACCATTTTGGCATAATCTATGAATGTTAAAAAAAAAAAAAAAAGAGTTATAGAGATGGAGTGGCAGAGAAGGAGGGAGGGAGGGAGAAAGAAAGAGATACGTCTTGCATCTAATTGGTTCACTCCCCAGATGACCACAGTGGCCCAGGTTGGGCCAGGCCTAAGCCAGGAGCCTGGGGCTTCATTTTGTTCTGTAGCATGGCTGGCAGGAATCCAACCACTTGGGCTGCCTTCTGCTACTTTCCCAGGCCATTAGCTGGGAGCTGGATCAGAAGTGGAGCAGCTTGCCATGAACTGGCGCCTATATGGGATGCTGGTATTGCAGTTGGCAGCTTTACCTGTTGTGCCACAGTGTAGCCCCATAACAGTTTTTAAAAGATTTATTTACGTGTTTATTTGAAAGAGTGACAGCAAAGGAGAAACAAGAGAGCTCTTCCACCTACTGGTTCACTTGGCCACAGTGGCTGGTGCTACATGATGCCAGAACTAGGAGCTTGGAACTCCATCTGGGTCTCCCACTTGGGTGGGGGACCCAAGTATTTGGTGCATCTTCTGCTGCTTTCACAGATGCATTAGTAGGAAGCTGGATTGGAAGCTAAGATGATGGGACTTGAACGGGTACCCCATATGGGATTCTGGTCTTGCATTTGGCAGCCTAACCTGATGTGTCACATCAAGTTCCATTTTCTAGGATTAGGACAGATTGTTAATAAGCTGTCACCTAGGGGCTGGCGCTGCTGTAGGTAAAGCCACTGCTTTGTAGTGCCAGCATCCCATATGGGCGCTGGTTCGAGTCCTGGCTGCTCCACTTCTGACTCAGTGTTAAATATTTCTAGTATTCTTAATATTTTATGTTTGTTTTAGGATTACGAAGAGGAAGATATCCTGGAAAATGTAGAAATTCTTTAGAGATTGCATTTCAGGAATCTCTTAAGTCTTTGCTTGGAAAATTTTGACTTGTTACAGCTAAATATGTTGTTTCTGTCAGAGAAGTGTATATGGTATCATTAGTAGAATTTTTGACTTTCAGAAATTGCCTTGTAATTTAGTGATAGTATAAATATGTTCTAGATCATTTATTTTCTTTGTGGTTTGAGTCATGAAGCTCCATGGTTAATCTCCTCTTCAATAAAATGAAGAGAGATATTTTATAAGAATTAATAATGTGTGAAATATAATAAAGTCTTTTTTTTTAACTCCTAGGTTAATTTCCTTCATATTCTAGTTGATAGATGCAGCTTTTGGGCTGATTAATAAAATGTTAACTTTTATCTGCAATATTTTTCAAAAAAATACTTAATTATTTATGTAAGAGAAAGAAAGGGAGTTTCCATCTGGTAGCTCACTCCCCATATACCTACAATGGTGGGGAAGAAGCTTTGAGCTGGGAACTCAATCCAGGTCTCTGACATGGGTCTGAGGAAGCCAACTACTTGAGTCACTGCTTCCCAGGGTCCACCAATTAGAAGAAAGGGAGGGAGGGAGGAAGGAAAGGAAAGAAAGAAGAAAGGAATCTTCACACACACACAAAAAATTCCCAAATATCCCCTTCATTAACTTATACCTGTATGACATAGAAAAGAAGTTTTGCATGTATTTCTGAGGATTCTTTCCACATCCTGTTTGTTCTGATTACATTTCTTTGGCTTACTTGACATCATTTTAGGGATCTGGGTTGGCTTTAGGTAAATGAGAATTATAGTGGAACAATTGGGAGACTGCAACATCTCTGAAGTGTTGGGAGCACTCCAAGAACTGTTGCTAGAGTGTTTTTTTAAAAGATTTCTTTTATTTATTTTTTTTGAAAGAGTTAGAGAGGTAGAGACAGAGAGAGAGGTCTTCCATTCACTGGTTCACTCCCCAGATAGCCACAATGGCTGGAGCCAGGAGCTTCCTCTGGGTTTCCCACGTGGATGCAGGGGCCCAAGGACTTGGACCATCTCCTACTGCTTTCCCAGGCCATAGCAGAGAGCTGGATCGAAAGAGGAGCAGCTGGGACTAGAACCAGCACCTATATGGGATGCAGGCGCTTCAGGCCAGGGCCTTAACCTGTTATGCCACAGCGCTGGCCCCTGTTGGTGGAATATTAATGCAGGTGGTTGGTTCAGTAGTTCTGAATCTTTCTGACTGTAAAGCTTTGCTTATTCTAAGTTAATGAAAATAAAAATTATTTTCTTATTTGAAAGGCAAAGAGAGATAGAGGGAAAAACAGATCTTTCATCTGCTGGTTAATTTCCCAAACGCCCACAACAGCCAGCCAGGGCTGAACAGACTGAAGCTAGGACTTAGGAACTCAATCCAGTTCTCCCACATGGGTGGCAAGGACCCAAGAACTTGAGCCATCACTTTCTAACCCCCAGAGAGTGTATTAGTGAAGCTGAAATTGAGAGCAGAACCAACATTTGAAACCAAGGATTCTGATATGAGTGTAGGCATCTCAAGTGGCATTTAGAATGCTGCACCAAATGCCCAATCAAGCTGATGAAAATTTTAAAAGTTGCTAAACATATGTTTTTCCTTTACTGAAGACTTTGAAGGTTGTAGTTCATTGACCTCTCAAAACATGGGTTTGTTATTAACATATCTAGAAACACATTTATGTTGTGACTTGTTTTAGAGCCATTTATCATTTGATAAAGAGAAAAATTGCAAACTAACTTGGTTCATGGTTTGGATCACTGTAACATTTGAAGTATGTAATTAAATTTTGCTAATTTTTCGTTATGGGGAGGCTTATTTTTAAAATTTCTATTTTCATTTTATTTGTAAGGTAGGGAGTCAGACACAAAGATCTAACCACTGGTTTACTTCCCAAATGTTTGCAGTAGCCAGGGCTGGACCAGGCTGAATCCAGGAGCCCAGAATTCCATTAGAGTCTCCCATGTGGTTTTCAGGGACCTAAAATTCTGACCCATCATCTGCTACCTCCCAGGATAAGTGGAGGAACCTGGACTGGAACCAGGCACTCCAATATGGGATATGGGTATACAAAACAGTTAACATAAGTGGCTGTGCTGAATGCGAGCCTAGGGAAGTTAATTTTTTTTTTTTTTTTTTAAGATCTATTTCTTTATTTGAAAGGTTGAGCTACAGAGAGGCAGAGGCAGAGAGAGAGAGAGAGGTCTTCCATCTGCTGGTTGACTCTGCAAATGGCCGCAATGGCCAGAGCTGGTCCAATCTGAAGCCAGGAGCCAGGCGCTTCCTCCAGGTCCCCGACGCGAGTGTAGGGGTCCAAGCACTTGGGCCACCCTCTACTGCTTTCCCAGGTCATAGCAGAGAGCTGGATTGGAAGTAGAGCAGCCAGGACTCAAACTGGCGCCCATATGGGATGCCAGCACTGCAGGCATTGGCTTTAAACTGCTATGTCAGAGCATCGGCCCCAATGTTTATTTCATCAAGAGGATTACTAACTTTACTGCATATATTTCTTACTTTGTTCTTGAGCTTTATAGCATTTTATTTTGCAGGCTAATTTTGGAGTGAGATATACTATTCTTTCCTCCTCCACCCAAGTTGTCCTTTGCTTGGTAGTCTTGTTTTGCTTGGTGTTTTGGGTCCCTTGGACTAGAATTTATACAGTAGATTGGATCGGTATTAGAAATTTTGTAGATTTCATTACCAAGCCAGTGCATAAATGAGTGCAGATCTGATATGAAGATGTTTTCTCTTGCCACCTTAGCTGTTAGCTTTCTTTCTTCTTCTTCCTTCATCTTCTTCCTCCTCCTCCTTTTCTTCTTCTTCTTTTATTTATTTATTTGAAAGCCAG